GTGTTTTTTTGAAAGAAGCAGTTCGGAACCGTTACGTAACGGTGCGTAACAGGCCGTTACGGCTGTTACAGCACCGTTACAACCGCTACGGCCGACGCACCTATGAATCTCAATCACACTGCAAAAGCGGCCATAACGGGTGGCGGTAACCACCGCAACCATTACGTAACGCCGTTACGTAACAGTTGCGGCTGCTTTTTAAAACCTTGGTGCCTTTCTTTCTTTGTTACAGTTTGATTGATTAATATAAAATGGGTGATATTATTATCATTCCCTAAGTTAGCTTTCTCTTAAATAAACATTGTATCAAAGCCTTGAGGTTCCTATCTCACTACCATACCTCCGACAACCACCGATCACCACTCCGACAGCCACCCATTTTCTCCAAGCCTTCTCTAGTCTTTTTCAGCACTCTCTCAAGCCTCCTCTAGGGCTTGTGACACTGATGGGCAGTGTTTCGGTGCACCGTTCAGCCTCTCTAGGGCTTGCGCCAGCCCTAGCCACCATGGGACTTCTCTTTTTTCACGGTACTCCATCAGGGGGTTAAGGGGATCGCTCGGGTCATAGAGGCAGTTGTTCTAGTCAATTGAGAGGACGTGGGTCTCACTCTCGTGCTCATCAATCCAGTGTTGTAGAGACACATGATTCAACTCCGGTTATGCAGACTTCTGATCTGGTCTCTGGTATGTCATCTTTTGAGTTTGCGGATGCTTTGCGCCATCTACTTTATCACCAGTCTCCGGTTCCTCCAGGTGCATCTTCTTCTTCGTTTGCCCATTTAGGTAACTTAGCCTCATCCTCTAGTGTGTTCTTATCCCATAAAGCCTCGCCATGAATTATTGATTTTGTTACCTCCGATCATATGTCTGAGACTTCTAATCTCTTCTCAGACTATACACCCGCCTCTGGTCAGGATAAAGTTAGGATGATAGTACTATTTCCTCTTTCTTTAGGAAAGGTTTAATCCGTGCCACCCCTTTCCGACCTTTATCTTATGTTTTACATCTTCCTAATTTTTCTGTTAATCTATTGTCATTGAGTTGTCTTACTTGGAATTTGAATTGTAGCGTAACTTTTTTTCCTGATTCTTGTCTTTTTCAGGACCTTATCACAAAGAAGACGATTGGCAATGGTAGAACAGAACATGGTCTCTATATCCTGGATCAAACTGACTAGCTGGCTCATTATTCCATCCAGTCTCCATCTACCATGAAAGATTATGGCTGTGGCATCGCCGTCTAGGACATCCATCTTTTTTATTACTTAGATATTTATTTCCTTACGTTTTTGTCCAAAATAAAGTTTAGGAGTTTCATTGTGAGTCCTGCCATGGCAAATACCGAGCTTCTTTTGCTCTTAGTAATAATAAACGTTCTGTTCCTTTTTCTTTAATTCATTCTGATGTTTGGGGCCCCTCTCGTGTGTTGTCAATAAAGGGTCACCGATGGTTTGTTACTTCTACAGATGATTGCTCTTGTGCCACTTGGTTGTATCTAATGAAAGAAAAGAGTGAGGTTTTTTCTGTGTTTCAAAACTTCCATAAGATGATTAGTACCCAATTTAGGGCATTTATCAAAGTCTTGAGTTTTGATAATAGGGATGAGTACATTGATTCTAGGTTGGCCAACTATTTTTTCACTCATGGCATTATCCATCAAACATCTTATACTAACACCCCTCAACAGAACGGTGTTGCCAAGCGCAAGAATCGTCATCTCCTAAATATGGCTCGCTGTATGTGTTTTTCTATGGGTGTCAATTGGGCCTATTGGGGTGAGGTTGTTCTTATAGCAGCATATCTCATTAACCGTCTTCCTACCCAAGTCTTAAAAAAAAAGCCCCTCTTCAGGTTCTCTTAAGTTCTGGGTCTCTGTTTTCCATTCTTCTAAAAACCTTTGGCTGTGTGGTGTATGTTTTGTTCACAATCATTCTCTTTCTCGAGGTAAGTTGGATCCTCGTTCTCTCAAGTGTGTGTTCTTGGGTTACTCTCCTACTCAAAAGAGGTACGAGTGTTATCATCCTCCCTCTCGTAAATGGTTTATGTCCATGGATGTCACCTTCTTTTGAGTCTCAATCCTACTTCGAGTCCAGTCCAGTGTCCCCATCATCTCTTCAAGAAAAGCCTTGGTGTGAAGAGAGTCTTGTTACTTCAATTATTCCTGGCTTAGTACTGCCTCCAGTGGTACATATTACTAGCAATACTGAATCTAATGTTGCCAAGAACAGAGAAGGGCAAGTTTATATCAGGGATAAAAAAAGGCAGAAAATTACTTGAATAAAAGAAACCAATTCTGATCAATCACTGCCGTCTCCTTCTCTTGATGAAGGTCTAGGTAACTCTCCAACTCCTGATATTGCTACCTCTGAGTCTGAGCCCACTGATCTTGATATACCCATTGCCAAAAGAAAGGGTGTGAGATCTTGTACTCATTATCCAATTTCTAACTTTGTGTCTTATTCTCATTTGTCATCTTCATATAAAGCCTTTGTGTCAAAAATTTCCTCTATTAGTACACCTAATCATTTTCAGGATGCTCTTACTATTCCTGAGTGGAAACTGGCTACGGTGGAGAAAATGAAAACACTTCATAAAAATGGCACTTGGGATTTGATTGAGTCACCTAGGGACAAACGAACTGTGGGATGCAAATGGGTGTATACTGTGAAACACAAGGCAGATGGTTCAATTGAGCGGGTATAAGGCTCGACTTATGGCAAATGGTTTCACTCAGACCTATGGGGTGAACTACCAAGAGACATTTGCTCCAATTGTAAAGATGAATTCAATCAGAACAATTCTCTCTCTAGCAGCTAATCTGAAGTGGTCACTTCATCAATTTGATGTGAAGAATGCTTTCCTGCATGGTGACCTAGAAGAGGTGCATATGGACATTCCTCCTGGCTTTGAAATTGTTCAAACCAAAGGAAAGGTATGTCGACTTTGAAAGTCATTTTATGGCCTCAAACAGTCCCCTAGGGCTTGGTTTGAGAGGTTCACTTAGGTGATACTGAAATATGGCTTCAAACAGAGTCAGACTGATCATACTCTATTTGTTAAACATTCCTCTCATGGCAAGACTACAGCTTTCATTGTATATGTGGATGACATAGTGCTTACAGGAGATGATATTGAGAAAATTCCTTTGTTGAAGAAGTATTTGGTAAATGAGTTTAAAATCAAAGACTTGGAGAACCCAAAGTACTTTCTGGGAATTGAAGTGGCTAAAAATGGGAATTTCATCTGTCAGACAAAATATGTCCTTGACCTGTTGAAAAAAACAGGAATGCTTGGAAGTAGAGCCTGTGACACGCCACTGAAGCCTAATTAGAAACTTTGTGATGATAATGGGGGAGCAATTGTTGATAGGGGGAGTTATCAGAAACTAGTAGGTAAGCTCATTTATTTATCCCATTCTCATCCTGATATTGCTATTGCCATTAGTGTGGTTAGCCAATTTATGCATGCTCCTCATGAAATGCATTTGGTGGCCAGTTATGAGAATTTTGAGATACTTGAAATTTTCTCTTGGAAAAGGTCTTTACTTTTCCAAACATAATCATCTTAGTGTGGAAGCTTATAGGGACGCGGATTGGGCAGGTTCTGTGACTAATAGGAGGTCCACCTCAGTATATTGTACCTTCGTTCGAGGCAATTTGGCTACTTGGAGAAGAAACAAAATGTGGTTGCTAGGTCTAGCGCAGAAGCTAAGTTTAGAGCTATGACACAAGGTGTCTGAGAGCTCTTGTGGATCAAGTTGTTATTGCGTGATCTAGGAATTGACCAGAGAGACTCCATACGGCTATATTGTGATAATAAGGCTGCTATCAACATAGCTCACAATATAGTTCAACATGACTGGACAAAGCATGATGAGATTGATCGTCACCTCATCAAAGAGAAGCTCACTAGTGGTACAATATGTACTCCATTTGTAAAGTCTGGTGAACAACTTGCAGATATCCTCACCGAGGGAGACGGAAGTAAACCATTTCATGACATTTTTAGCAAGCTGGGTATGAGAGACATCTTTGCACCAGCTTGAGGGAAAGTGTTAGAATATATGATTGGAATCATTCTATAATTTATATTTCCTTATTTAGATTATATTATAATTCCTTAATCAGTGTCTTTCTTTCTTTGTAACAGTTTGATTGATTAATATAAAAGAGGTGATATTATTATCATTCCCTAAGTTAGCCTTCTCTTAAACAAACAACATGTTCCCATTGGCGTGCGCGTCGGACGGGCAATTCCTTATTGTTTACTTTTAAGCATGTTAGTGTAGACTTTCAGGCAATTAGGCTTGTGTGCCTTATTTATTTTGCATGTACTTCATTGTAATTTATTCCATAGTCTCTACTTTATTTCATAATATGTATTATTAAGTATGTACTTTCATTTACATTGGGATGCATGCCATGAGAAGTTGAGTCATTGCATTGAGAGAACTTCCCATTTTAGATTAAAAATGTGATTTGTCTAAAAAATTATAAGATTGGGCACGTTTACCATTGGAGTCTAAATTCATTAGAAACACATCTATTTTGTCATTTTTAAGTAAGACAACGATGATAAAGGGAAATTGAGTACATTTTCAAGTTTAATAAAATATTCGCCTATGGACACGTTTTACAAGGCAAATTAGAATTTTGACGTACTTAGGAAAAATTTCTAAGTGATGATTTGAAAGTGGATAAGGATAAAGTGGATGCTTTCAATTATAAAGATCACACTTAGGCTAATTAGCTTCCGCTTAATTAACATCTTAAAATTCGGGGTGTGACATCTACCACCATGCAGGTCTTAAACCAAATATGCAAAAAAGTGGAGTATTTTACTTAGGGGTTCATCTGAGGATAAAGCAGAGCTAAAATGGATCCTAGATATCCCTGAAGATCATTTTAACCACACCAAACAAATTTTGGCACACAGGCACACACACACACACATATACATACATCATGACAAGATGTTTACAGACAAAGGAACAGAGAGTTACCAAATGGAGAGTAGCTGGATAGCACAATGATATGAGCAGATGCGCGTCTAACAGCATACCAAAGAGGATTAGTGCTTTTTGAGGCTGCATAAGGTGTTGGGTATCTCTGCAGATACGATTTGAAAGGAATAACTTCCCCCTAAAAAGAGACATCAAAAGAGTAGTCAAGAAAAACAAACAAAAAGTTCAATTTGGATTTCATTTCCGTGACTGACAAATATATTGAACATAAATCACTAGTGTGACCGCAATAATCAGGTATATGAATAAAGAGTTGCAAGTGAAATTCAATGATTCTTCTTGCCATTGGGCTTTAAAATCAACTGTTCTTCACTATTCAACACAATCATGTATAATTTCTAGCATGCTCAGCATGTGCTAAAATTAAAATAACACCAATAAAATAACAAATACAAGAATATAGGAAAACTAGAGTTCGATGAACGTGGGAAATAGGTGAAGACTTTCCATTTGAGAAACTCAACAGATGTTGAAAGTAAAGTTCTCATGGAAATTTTGCCTATTTATTCATTATTTTCTTCCAAGGGATAAAAAAAATTCAAACTCTAGGTCTGTAAATTGTTGGGATGTTACTTATACTACAATGGGCTTCACTGTTCAAAGATGAGCCAATTATGGTGTGACACCCCAAAAGAACGCCACGTGCAATAGCTATATTAATAACCATCCTTAAATACCCTAAGTCAAACTAACCATCTCATTATGTAGAATACTTAAAATAAAGTATAAAAGTAAATAGCCAGAAAGCCTGGAGGAAAGAATGTTAAAGAAGAAGGAACTAGGGAATGCTTATGATTAATGCAAAAACCTAAGGTAATTTAAAAGTAGAACTTTGGTGGGAATTGATAAATAACAAGGAGTTAGGGGATGAACTTTGAAGTGAATATAGAATACCTAGATCACCTAAGAAACCTTAATTGAGAAGCTTAAAGATCTTAGACTAATGTGCTTGTCATTTTAATACTATATGTTATTTTGCTAAAAATGATTAGTGTTAATTAAGTAGGATTAGTGAACCTTAATCGTGATTAATTAAGCTAAGCAAGATTCAAATAAAACTTGATTAATTAGAGATTAACCTTGATTAATTATAACTAAAATTGATTAACTAAGCTATGTAAAAGAGAATAGGTAAAGCGGTGAAGCAAACAAATAGGTGATGCATACCCCTCTCTTTTTGTATTTATTAGCCTTTTGTTTTATAGTTATATAAGATAGAATCAAGAAGAAAAAAATCTGTTGGCACAAAACAAGAAATAAAAGAAGGGGACCCCATACACAAGAGGGATGCCTCATTTTCCCTGCCACAGAGCACACACACTCTCTAAATCTTCATCTTCTCTCTTTGATCTATTTTAGCTAACTTTATCATCGGAGTGTCTCCGGCCGGCAACCCCGGTTGGGTGGCGCCGATTATGCTCATCCTTGCAGATCTACAAGAGCCAAGTTCATCTCTTCGTTGGATCTCATCAACAATCCATGTGAGAGGATTTTTTGGGTCTCACAAAACCTATCAACTATCTAAGTATGAGAAGAAAATAGGAACTAATTGAGTTAGAATTGAAGTTATGAAGAAAATAAACGGAAGAGTAGTATAGGTTCATGAATAAAGCAAATAGTTGAAGTTCATGCATTTTCAATTGAGTTTTTGATGTTCTTAGTTCATAGGAAGTTGTATTTCCATGATTTCTCATAGTTTTCAATGATTTTGCATAATCAATCCATGTTTTAAAAAAAGAAAAGAAGTTTAAGAGGGAATTGAGAAAGAACTAGATTCGTGAATTTTCTTGATAAAGCCTTGATTTTGATCCTTGAAACTTGAAATTAAATCATGTTTTGATGTAATTAATTTTAGAAACATCATTCTTTCAAGATTTCCTATTGATTTTGTATATTTTGTAGTGAGGTTGCATAGTCCCAAGCCCTAGAATCAAGAGAGGAAGACTTGGAACAAAGCTGCATTTTCGAACAGACCTATTTTCCCAGCACCGCATGTGCGGCCAGCCCCCAGATCTCATGTTTTAATTCTGAAATCACATGCGGCCAGCATGTGCCCTGACCCTCCCGCACGTGCAGCCTGGGCCCCGCACCTGCAGAAATCCCCTGTTTTGCACGCTTATTATTTTTGTAAGCCTCTTTCACCTAGAACACTCCTTGCACATGTTTAACACTTATTTAGGCACTTTTTTTGAGACATGAATTAATCCTAGATTGGCACTAAACACTTGAGAGAAGTTTAGGAAAACATCTAACCAAGTTTAGGCACTCGGTTTGACATGTTAGCGCAAGTAAGCTAGGTACTTCATGTCTTGTTAACACTTTGAATTTAAAGATGTAAACACTAAACAACTTAAATATGAAATAGGAAGCATCAAGCCACTTGGCACACTCTACTTAATTTAGAAGCTTACAAACTAAGTTATGATCAAGCCTTGAACAATTTGAGAAAGAAGTTAGAAAACATTAAACAAGATTAGAACAATTGAGTTAAGGTTAAAACTCGCAAGTTATGATGTTTTCAATGTCTTACTTATGCTTTGTGTAAGTCAAGCACTTGGAGGAGGAAACCCTTTATTCAAGGAGCCATTTGTGAGTAGTAGTATAGTAAAGTTATGTTTGTTAAAACTATGATTCGAAATGCAAACCTATACTACGTTTACGAAAGATAAGCTATTGTTTTGTTATGAATGAGCATCCTATATTCTCATATCATGTATTAAGATGACATTCATGGATCATGTCCCATAATTGCGGGAATAACCAATCATGTCCCAAAATTGGGGGAATACCCAATCATGTCTTGATGGCTGAGCTCACAAGCCACCATCGAGTGAGACATTTAACCGGTATCCGGGCCGGTTAAACACCTTGTAATCCTTGATATGTTCATCATTATGTAAATGTTTTCAAGTCAAGTTATGCAATATCTTGCTCAAGTTAAAGCTATTGTCAAACTACGATTTAATCCTATGTTTAAAAGCTTGTCGGTGTTCATTCATTTACCACTTTACAGTATTACAATTCACTGCGCAATGGCTCACCCCTCTCCCTTATATATATATGTAGGTGATGAAGAGTCCGGGTACGAAGAGAAGTTAATTGGAAGCCAGTCTTGTGTGGTTGTGCTAGCTTTGTAAAGCTATGTCATAAGTGTTGTATTTTATTTAATTGTTTAAGCCATGTAATAAGGTAGATAACAATCAAAGAGGAATGTAGGCTTTCATTTCATATAGTTGTGCACTGCTCTGAATAGATGTTTCGAATGGACTCAATATAAGCAAATAATGGTTTCTGCACTTGTAATTGAAAATTTTTCCCCAATTATCATATGAGTCCAACTTGTTTTGAAAGTTAGGCCTTTTGTAATCCACGACTACTGGCCGATCACTACACTATCCTATTTGGGACAGTATGGGTCGTGACATATGGTCTGCTTAGCTAGCTGAAATTAATTACTTAATTATCAATTAGGTTTCTCTTGCACAAGTATGGAAACCCTAGAATATCAGAGGAGAAAACTGTTTGTTTAGACATTGAGAAATTACATTCTTGTCAGCTTCTTGTTTCTAAAAGTAATAAACAACAATACGAAAATTAGAAAATACATGATTAATGCAAAAACATGAGCAAGGTGGATATTATTTTAAGCTTCTTGGGCTCATGAGGAAATAGACTACAATGACTTGTGGTTTTGAGATGTGTTTAAACAAACACAAATTTTGTGTGTACTATTTTGATGTTGGTGTGAGATGGCATAGCACGACAAACTAATAATACATGAGGTAGAATTAATATGTAGAATGACAAAACATACGTAACAGGAAAAAATGTCTAAAAGAAATAGAGGATTAAAGAAACCGCATGAACACACTTTCTTCTTAAGAGTATTCAGACATGTTATACAGAATAAATAGTCTAAGGTGAATTATCAAAATAGCAAGAAGAAATTATGCAGATTAAAGCATTGATGAGTTGCATGTAAATTCAAAAAAGAAATGCAACTACACATATTAGACACAACACATATTATCCTGATAAGACAAAGACATCTGGGTCCCATCTACGCCTCAAATCCTGCACCTCCTTGTGAAAATATATTAGTTTATATTTTCTGCATTAGTATATATTCTGTATATCTTTTATATTAGACATGTTTGATTGTGTAGATATCCCTTTGATTGTATAGGGATTCTATTTCATTTTTTTTTAAACTTTGTCTTAGGACTATATAAACAGTTGTGTACTTTGTAAATATAAAAATTCATTCAAAAATCACTACCGAAACCCTAGAAGTCATTTGCTGTTTGTTGACTCTAAGTTGTCTCTGGTTCGTAGTTCTTTCCTCTGTTTGGCGAGTGGTTCTCCTTCGTTACTGGATCTCCCTCGCGACTAGGTCTCTATCGTCTTTGATTCTTGGTTCAGTGTGAGTCATCTCTGGCTCATCTCTTTGCATCGTTGGGTCGTGGTTCTTCCCTTTGGTTTGTGGCTAGTTCTTCTTTGGGTCTTCTCTCGCGCAACTAGTTCTCGCTACTGGTTCTTCTCTTCCCTTTGAATTTCGTCCACTTGGGTTCATCAACTGGGTCTCATGGTTGACCCTTGTTCGTTGATCCCCTGAGTACTAACGTTCTCTCTTCTCTAGTATCGCGACCCATCGTGACTCATCTAATTCACCTCTCACCTTTGGTTCGCAATTACTAGTTCTCTCTCTCACTCTCTCTCTCTCTCTATTGTGGTAACTTCTATTTACATTTTAGCCCCTCTGTTTGTGATTATCTGGTTACTTGGAACAAATTTTTTTGTGTTACTATACTTAAACCCATTAGTTCCGTTTTATTACAATGTCAGGCACCAAAATCCAAGCCATTAAATGCAAACTTACTAGTACCAATTATAGTTATTGGGCCAATGTTATGAAGAATTTTCTTCTTAGTAAGAAAAAAATGGGACTATATTTGGTTCTGTTCCTCGTCCATCGGACCCAAAAGCAGAAGGATATTTGACTTCCTGTGACACTTAAGATTGTGATAATGCCCAAGTTCTAACCTGGTTGCAATTCTGTAGATGACCGTATTGGAATGATGTTTTCCAAATATAGTACAACCAAAAAGGTGTGGGATTATATATAGAATATATACTAATATATTAGGCATGTTTGATTGTGTAGATATCCCTTTGATTGTATAGGGATTCTATTTCCTTTATTTTAATCTTTATCTTAGGACTATATAAACTGTTGTGTACTTTGTAAATATACAAATTCATTCAGAAATCTTACACTCCTTTCAGATTTGCACAAGGTACTACTCAAACTAAAGGTTGGCAGCTAGAGGCCAACTGTATTGCTATTATCAAAGCTAATCCTTTCTATACCTGTCTCAACAACCCTAAAACTTTAAAGAACCATTTATACACTGTGATAGTGATTGTCCTGTTCATTACTAATCCATCAAATCACATTATTACACTCCCAAAAATCCCTCAATCAATTGAAATGTCGAAATTCCATCAAAGTGAACTCAGTGAGCATTGTTTCTTAGCTTACCAACTTCTTCAAAGATTTTTACAGCAAGGGATTGAGGGGGTTTGAGTATACCATAGTTATACAAAACAAAAAGGGTCATTCTACAATACACACCCCTTTTCTGGGTGTGTACTATATGTAAGTTATGACAATTTGTGGTATTGATACCACAAATGTCCTAGCTAAATCACTTTCAGTCATAACTAAAAGAAACACAAGGGATCAAAACCAAACACCACTTGAGACAAAACCAAAGACCTCTTCGGTTATAACCAAAATAATAACCACAATAGCTCATAATCAACACCACAATGACTCATAACTAAGTCATAACTAACACCAAAATGGGTCATAACCAAACACCACTTGAGACATAATGAAAGACCTCTTTAGTCATAATCAAAATAACAACCACAAAAGGTCATAACTAACACAATGAGTCATAACCACCACCGCAATGGGTCATAACCAAAAACCACAAAGGTCATAGTGGGGCATACGGTACCCACCTTTTTTGAGGTGCATATTATAGAATTTCCCAAACAAAAAATACTTAAAAGTGGTTCCTAAAAGATTCCAATCATTGTACAAACATTCACAAATAATGAAATCAATCTTACAAGAACTGGAAAACAGTTCTAGTGATAACATATAAATTACCTTGCAAGTTGCAAACATATTACAAACATTCCTATGATGAAAGATGCAAAAAATAACTTCATCAAAACACACAGGAAGTTTTCATTGTATAGTTTCTGACCATTTAAAATAGAAACTTAACAGAAATGTATAGTTATGTTATATCCACCAAAACTTAATAGTAGAGTTTCCAGGAAAAGGAATGACCGCTGTTACTTTTATTTGCCTTGCCAGATATACTCAACAAGATTTATGCTACATAATATAGTTAAGATACTAAGTTTTAGATCTACCTCAACAAGGTTCATTAGTAAAGAAAGCAATGAATGTTGCTTTCTATAAACACCATAACCAAAATAAATTACCATATATGGCATGTAATCTATTTCATGATTCCCGGCTGCCCAAATCCATGGATGATACGCTGCACTTTGTTCAATAAAACGGCCCCATGTATCCCAACGAACACCAACATCATGATACTGGTATCTGTCAGCATATGAAAGATCTCCAACAAATAAGACTGTCTGTCCTCCGCTCCGCATGTAATGCTCAATAGTGGAAAGAGAATTATATGTTTGGCCCAAATCACCTAAACATACAAACAGGACAATTTACTAACAAATCTTAAATTATAAGAACAAATTAAGGCAAGATTTAAATAGAGTTTTTCAATCCAAACACCATATGTGCTACTGTCTTTCTACAGAAGAAAGGCTGTTAAGACCAGTGGGCTGCTATTGTAAAACAAAATGAATCAATACTATGTTAGCATTATTACTAAGTTTCCCACAAAGTCTCTAGCCATATTGCCATGCAATATAAAGCTTATTTGACTTATCTTTACCAAAGCATCAATTCATCATCTTACAAATGTGTATCACAGTTAGCGTTTCAGCGGACTCATCTTCTGTTTCCGAGTAATATCTATTCTAGGCCACACACACACACACACCTGCTCCCTTGCCTAATAAGATAGCTACTAAAGCTTCAGAGACAAGAATCTAGCAGGACTTTCACTAGCCAAGGACTTTAAGTAACCTACCATCTGTGGTATAGATGACAGTGCAACAGTAACCTCAGGCACATATGCAGCAAATATCATACTTACTTCCCTTCATGTTTATTAGGGAAGACCATCCTTTCACACTCTTTTGATCCAGATTTCCTCAGCAATTAAAAGGTCTCTGAAGAAAGTAGCATTTTTCAATACCATCATAACTAATAATTTGAAACACAGGATTGTAATGAACAAGGCAACCAATGGTCGAATCAAAGATGAATAGTTTCTTTCATTAAAAAATCTGAACTGTAGAACTTCTGAAAAGTATCAGTAAGAAATTTGACATAAGCCTAACTTCACACATGAATGCTACTTTATAGTGAATATGACATTAAGATCCATCTCATTCAGCTTAGATTTAGACAAGCTCAGCCTAGCTCAAGAAGTGTTCTTACGACCAACTTGTTCTAACCAATCCCAGTGATCGAGGAAAAGAGCATTTCAAAAAGATCTAAATGAATAGACAAATTCCACTTATTTCTTGGTAGTGCAAGAAAGATTCTTGACGTTAGCCTTGTGTCACGGACTTGGTTGTTTCCAAGCTAACCGTGCGGCACTTAGACAATCTCAAGTCTCACTTGATGATGCTAAGTCAGCCTAACTCACACACTTGTAGGAAAGAGAAGTTTAGAAGAACACAAGAGAGTTTGAGAGAATGTGAGAGAATGCTTTTGTATTCACACTTGAGAGAAAGCTTACAACTCTTGGTGGTTGGATCTACTTGGGTGGTTTGGCCAAATGAGGGCCTCCCCCTTTTATAGGCTACAAATAAACATTCTAGAATTACTAGGGTGGAGAGTGTTCTAGACACTTCCTCCTTCTACATCTACTAGACTATTCTAGATCTACATGGATGGAGGGGATTCTAGATCCTTCCCTCATCCTATCAAAGAGCCTACTCTAGAATATACAAGACTTATGTGCAAGCTTCTAGTGTTATGTACAATTCTCTACAATACTCTAGGAAGATCTAGAACCTTCCAGCATCCTGTATGGTCTTCATATTTTCTCAAGTTTTTTCAGGAGCTTCTAGAGTATTCCATCAGCCTTTCTTCCTTGAGACTTCCTTTTTGTAGGTTATTCTGCCTTGGTAATTCAACGGGGTGTGACATTCTCCCCCACCTATGCTCGCGACACCCTCGTCGCGCCTTCTCCCTTGAAGTCGCAGGTTTTCTCCTTGACTTGCGCTTTCTTAGATTTGCCTTGTCCACTTGCCCTGTTGTAATATACATGGCTGACAGAAGTTTGAGTTTAGTATTCAGCTTACTTACCATTGGCACCATGTGAGGACCTCCCTCCGTAATGCACAGTGTTGTTGCGAGGTAACAGTACCACGTTGAACTCTCATAAGAACTCCATTCCTAGCACCACATCATAGTCATCGAGTGATGCTATTGAGAAATCAACTTTCCCACGCCATCCACCAAGGTGCAACTCAACCCCTCGAGCCATGCCATCTACGGGCTTTGCCTTGGTGTTCACCGTCTTCATCCATCCTTGACCCTTGTCAAGTTGAAGACCAAGCCTCTTGGCCTCCTCTGCCTTGATGAAGTTGTGCGACGCGCCTGTGTCTACCATGACTTAGGCCACCTTCCCATTGATCTTGGCATCGACATACATTAAACCCTTATCCCCTTGGGTCAATGTAGTAGGCTTCAATTCGATGGCCCCAAGAAGCTGTAGAGATCCTATCTGCAGAGTCTCCACGTTTTCCTGTTCTTCAATCATGGCATTGAGGGCTTGTCTCTTGGGACACTCTCTTGCCCAATGTGGCCTATCGCACAGGAAGCAATTGGTCTTGGGCTTGAATCTCTCCTTGTTTTCTCTGGCCTTGTTTTTTCCCTCTTTGCCAGTGGAAGGCTTGCCATGCCTTTCCTTGCGTCGGATGCCTTCATCCTCATCCCCCTCACTTTCACTAGAATTTCCACTAGTGTAACCCTTGGATGTTTTGGCCTTGCCATCCCCATGTTTGTACTCAATAAGTGATTCCGCTACCGCCATGGCCGTTGCAAGGTCTTGCACGCCTCGACGCCTTAACCCTTGCTCCGCCCATGGTTGTAGGTTGTCTAGAAAGTTGAAGAACAATTCCTCATCGGTCATATTCGGGATTTCAAGCATGAGTATAGAGAATTCCCTTATATAATCCCGAATAGACGTGTGTTTAAGATTTCTCATGCTCTTCCTTGCTTGGTAGGCCACATCCTTGGGATAGAATTGTTTCTTAAGTTCTTTCTTAAAATCATCCCAAGTAGCTATGGTGCACGTACCTCTCTCAATGTCAACATGCCTCCTACGCCACCATAGTGTTGCCGTGTCGGTGAGGTAAAGGATTGCAGTCCGTACCTTGGCATCTTCCGCGGTTACTGTCATCGCTTCGCAGTACTTTTCCATGTGCCACAAGTAGTTGTCCACCTCCTTGGCATCTCTCTTTCCATCAAAAGGTTTTGGTTTCGGCACCTCCACCTTGGACGTCCCCCGCAAAGTCACAGCTCCCCCAGCTATGGCCTTCTTGCACATCGCCACGTCTTGGCACACCTCCTCCAAGCGGGCTTCAAACCGTGCGAGCATCTCCAACACCTTGGCTTGGAAGGAGTCATTGGTCACTTGCCCCTCGTGTGCCACAAAGTTGACGGTGGAAAGCACGCCATCGTAGAGCTCCTTGATCTCCCCCTTGAGACCCTCCACTTCCTGTTCAAGGAATTGTTCCAAGACATCAAGACGCTCCCCCGAGTCACCCACGGCAAGCTCTACCTTGGCAAGCCGTGCTTCTATGGTGGTCACAACATCTCGTGACTTGTCCTTTCTTCCCTTCGTGGGTTCCCTTCCACGGGCTTGCTCTGGCACAGTCTCCTTTACACCGAATGACATTGTTGCCTTCTCTTTCTTGTCTTGAACCTGCTCTGATACCAACTGTCACGGACTTGGTTGTTTCCAAGCTAACCGTGCAGCACTTAGACAATCTCAAGTCTCACTTGATGATGCTAAGTCAGCCTAACTCACACACTTGTAGGAAAGAGAAGTTTAGAAGAACACAAGAGAGTTTGAGAGAATGCTTTTGTATTCACACTTGAGAGAGAGCTTACAACTCTTGGTGGTTGGATCTACTTGGGGTGGTTTGGCCAAATGAGGGCCTCCCCCTTTTATAGGCTACAAATGAACATTCTAGAATTACTAGGGTGGAGAGTGTTCTAGACACTTCCTCCTTCTACGTCTACTAGACTATTCTAGATCTACATGAATGGAGGGGATTCTAGATCCTTCCCTCATCCTATCAAAGAGCCTACTCTAGAATATACAAGACTTATGTGCAAGCTTCTAGTGTCATGTACAATTCTCTACAATACTCTAGGAAGTTCTGGAACCTTCCAACATCCTGTATGGTCTTCATATTTTCTCAAGTTTTTCCAGGAGCTTCTAGAGTATTCCATCAGCCTTTCTTCCTTGAGACTTCCTTTTTGTAGGTTATTCTGCCTTGGTAATTCAGCGGGGCGTGACACTTGGGTGGTCCGGAATACCCTACAACCCTCACCATTGGTGTTGATAATGTTGGTTCTTGTCTTGAAAAGTCTAGGATTCTAAATAATTAATTACAAAAATTCAATTAGGCTACATCAAATTCAATGTATGATGGAAGGAATTTCATTAGAAGTTTATAATGTTAATTATTAATATAGCATAGAGAGGAGAAGGAATTAAATAATATTTTGATTAAACTGTTTTTGAATCAATGATTCCTTTAACTAGCTTAATATACGTATAGTTGGTCCCATTTCCTAATAACTTAGGCTTTTAGATGAGTTGGTGGTCAGCAATGTACTATGGTATCACAAGCAATAGATCTTGTATTTGAACCTCCCCCCTACCTAATAATAAAAAATACTTGCACGTGTTTGGCTCGCTTAGGAGAGCCTAGCCACACATGAGGAAGCGTGTAATATAAGTAATAAAGTTGCTCCTCTCTAACAACTTATTATTTTGGGATAATTGGTGACTTAACATAGTATTAAAGCTCAAATTGAGAGAGTTATCGAGTTCAAGTCTCTCTATTGGCATTTGATATTTGGTCCCCATTTGATTATTTATCAAAAAAAATATATATATTCGGTCTCCATTTGGTTTCTTCTTCTTCGTTTGGTTGTTTGGTTCTCTGTTTGTCTTTGCACATGCAAGACAAGGGCCCCGTTTGGTAGAGCTGTGGGAAAGTGATTATAGATTATAACTTAACAGATTATAGCTTACAGCTGTGAGCATAAGCTGGTAACCTGTTTGGTGTAGCTGTGGGATTATAAATTTAATTTGCAGAATAGTGTTTGGCAAATAAGCTGTAAAATAGTTTTTTCGGTATAATTGACCTTTTTGCCCTTATATGATATAAAAATGATAATTTTGTCATTTTTTTTTCAATTTTAATTTAAAAAAATTATTTCATTAATAAAAGTTAATATAATTAGTATTAATTAATATAAAATAAATCTGATCTATACATTTTAAATTCTGATTAATTTTTAATTAGTATTTAGATCATTTTAAATTTTTGATTAATTTTTAAATAGTATTTTTTATTTTATTTTATTTTAAGAACGTAGCATTGTTGTAATTGCAAAACTTCAATCTTCCATATGGCTAGCAAAAAGCAATAACTCATGTATGAAATAAGAAGCAAGAGAGGCCTTAATAATTTGCTAATACACATTGAAATAATTCAAAATTTGAACATTCTCATATCTCACCACCTACTTCTTTGGTAGTGACATTAAGCTTTAACCAAGCTCTAACAAACAAATGGTATAATATATACATTTGTGTGAGCAAAGAAATGGCAAAGTAAATCAAAACTAAAATAAATAAACAAATAAAAATTGGGTGGGTAAATAAATGTTCATGGACAAATGATGTAGCTCTGAGGGTTAGAGAGCTGGTTGTGCTGATAAGGGCCGAGGCTGTTATGGCATGGGGATGGCCCAGAAGGCGGCACGGGCCCTCTAGGAAACTCGTTTTCGTACAAGCTCTTGAAATCTCTGCTTTCCTTGATTGCTCGAGCGCACTCTCCTCTTGATGCCAATGATGAAACCATGATGAAAACAACAAATCCAAACCTTATTAAACCCATAATAAGAGATCTCCTTAAAACAGACATGGTTGCTTTGTTCTTCCTCTTCCTTATTGTTTGCGTGAATTACAAAATGTACATGTGTAATTGAAGCCTATGTATGCCGGAAATCGCCTTCATCGAGAGAGAGAGAGAGAGAGTGAGTGAACAGTGTTTTCAGATGGGTATATATAATGGCATTTTCGTAAATAATAGAGATTAGGAGGGGCATTTAAGTCATTTTGCCCCTCCCAAAACAGCTGCGCGCATAAGTTGTAAAAATAAGCACCCCAATAGCAACTTTCCATTTAAGCCGAAATTTGGCTTAAATTAAGCCATAATCTATCCTCATAAGTTGTACCAAACACGCCAATATAGCTTAATTTAAGCCAAAAGCTGATTTAAGTTAAAAATAAGTTTTACCAAACGCCACCAAGGTTGCACGTACGTAAGGGAGAGTGAAGAATAGCTTAATATACATTGCTAAGCCCCTTTTCTATCTCCTTAAGCTTTTGGGAAAGTTGGTGATTTAACATGGTATTAAGCCTTTAGTTGGGGGAGGTCTTGTGTTCATGTCTCTGCATTTGCATTATTTCTCTTTCATTTGCATTGTCTCGTCTCTCTATGTATGGATGTTTGCTCCACATGCAAGATATTGCACATCTAAGAGGGTGTTGAATAGCTTGTTATATGTGAGAGAGGGTGTTAAATAGTTTGTCATACATTGTTGAGCCATTTCTTTATCTTTTGTACAGGAATTAGGAATCATTGAGGGTAATATTACAGTGATGACGAAGGATGTAGAAGGAATGGGCAAATGAGTAGATCTTTTTATTTTGTGCTTTTGAAGCGGAATGTTCATAAATTTTCATAAAAACTTTATAATTTTATTTATGTTTTTAATGTTTAATTTATTTATGATTCTTAAAATTTGTTAAGCTTCATAGGATTTGTTTCCTTTTAATGTGTTTTTTAGTGATCACAAATTTATAATTAGGATTCTTAGAATTTGTTTCCTTTTAGTATGTTTCTTCGTGATCACAAATTTTTAATTATAATTCTTAGGACTCGTTTCCTTTTAGTATGTTTCTTAACTATTAAGAATTTTAGTTTCCTTATTTTTATTAGGGTTTCTTTTAGCCTATAAATAAAGGCTTTGACATTGTAATTGGTCATAGTTGAATAATGAATTTAAGTTGAGAAAAGTTGTGGCTTTGTGTGTAGGGATGTAGCTCATGTTCTTTTTTATAAAAATCTTGTCTTCTTGAATCAATTGAAAGATAGGATGGATTTCTTGATAAACCACCCTGCATCATTTGGTATCAGAGCTTAACTTCAATCCACGCTTATTATTCAAACCAGTGTGATTGCTTCCTTTATACAGTTCGTTGGTTCGAAGAAGGAAGAAAAATAAAAAATAAAAAATAAAAGGAAGAAGAAGAAGACCCATTGCTGCCTCATGCATTCACTTGACAATGCCCATCAGGTTTCTCCCTCATCAATAGGACTGTATCTTTAAGCACAGTTTTACAGTTGTTCGGTACTATGGATCATAAACTGTATAATCATTCCAAGTTTCACTATGATACTTTTTTTCATCAAATAAAAGAACCCAGTTAGCATACAAAGGGATAATTGAACAAGGTATATCCATGTTCCTTAGATTGAGCTGCTTAATGCTTCAACTTCAATTGCTCGTGGATAACAATCTAATTTCGCTTTTCAAAAGCAGAAGAAGAAAAGAAACTACTGACCAATAATACCAAATTTGTAAGGAGCATTCGGATCAACCTCTGGGGGTGTTTGAAACGAAAACGTTCGAGCAGAATCACCGTCTCCGACCTTGTAAAAGTACTTGGTGTCGTACTGAAAACAAGAAAATGTCCAACTGATTGATGGAATAGATATAGAAACAAGAAGGCAAGAAAATATATAGTGCCCACAAAAAATAATTTTATGGAAAATCAATTGGTATAACTTTACATGTACCAGAAAGAACAATTTTTTACACTAACCTCCTCTGAGATTTCTGACAATTGCAGGGATCTCCCCTGAGATTTTGGAAATTACACTGACCCCCCTTCTAAAACTAATAACAGGATTCCCCTTTCTGTTAACTTTACCACAAATGGTGTTAAAAATAACAAGTAACTGAAATACCCTTCATCTACCCACCACATCTTCCACCCTTCTCTCTATTAATTTATCTTACCCCACTACCATGTACTCCACCAATGTCTACTTCAGCCCTAAGCCACTATCACCACACACAAAGGGCACCTAAAATCTACTCCTTTATTTCATTATCATCCCAGGCTTTCTCTTTCTCAAAGCTTTTTCTAATACAATTAAACAAAGCTTTGAAAGTTTCTCCAATGGCTTCCCTGAAATTCACAACATCAAGAGTTTCATGCAAAAGCAACACTCGAAGAGCTCCACCACACTAGTATAACTCTTTAAAGATGTTTGGAAATATTCAAATCTATTCAAAGTGGCAACCATCTCGATTGGGTTTGGTGTGGTGTGGTGGTGGTTGTGGTGGTGGTGGTGGTAATAGTATCAATTAATTTCTGTCTCCAAACCATGTAATACCAAAAATGAAGAATCAACATCATTTAATTTTATGACAAGTTGAATGGTGATTTTGAAATCAAACCAATCTAGGTTTAGTGTTCTTGATAGAGCATCAATGTTTGATTGAATAAAAAAATAAAAAAATAAAAATTGGAATGATGAACCACAATTAGATGAATGAGAAATCGAAAAATGGGAATTCCATTGATCAAATTTTTATGGTGGGTCTAATGATTTTGGGTGAAGGAAATTGACTGCTAATATTTGTATGCTCATCTTCTAAAGACTCTTAGAATTTCACCAAAAAAAAAAAAAGGCCAAAAGAAAAGAAAAGAAAAGAAAATGAAGACGGTAGAAAAACACGAAAAATGCGCATATTGTATGCATTTGATTAGGAAAATTCTATAATACACACCCCATTTTGGGGTATGTACCATATGCCCCCAGTTATGACGATTGTGATTTTTGGTTATCACTTATTTTGGTGTTAGTTATGATTTGGTCATGACTCATGGGGTATTTTACTTGTAACTAATTGTGGTGTTGATTACCTATTGTAATTATTATTTTGGTTGGTTACACTTTTTGCGGTGTTTGGTTATAAAAACTTTTTTTTTTTTTTGGACAAAATGATTTAGTTATAACATTTGTAATAATCAACACCATAAATATCATAACTTGCGTGTGGGACACTCCAAAAGGGGGTGTGTATAGTAGCATCACCCATTTTATTATGTATTTTTTTGACAAATATTATGAATTTTTGTAGCAAATGTTATCTAATTTTCTGATAGTGTGATGATAATTTGTTATTAGATATTGTTTATTATAACAATTGTGATACAGTTATGTACTTTTATGGCAGTATTACTTTTTTTTTTTTCTTTTTTTTATCAATATGTTACTCAATCATAATAGATTATATCTTATTCCAAATTTTTGAGTTTCAATAAAAAAAATAAAAAAAAAGGAGTAACATTATCATAAAAATACATAATTGTATCATCAATTTTTCTAACACACAATAATTTCACTTTAGAAATCATAAATTCTCGTAACACTATCAGAAAATTACATAATATTTAACACAAAAACTTGTAATATTTACTAGAAAAATATGTAAATTATATGCAGTATCACAAAAACACCCAGTGAGCGAGTCAAGAAAATCATGAATTGAAGCACAAAAGCTACATTGACTCTATGTCTATGTACTCCACAGCAGATTTATCTGTTTTCCACCATCGCTGTCAGTGACTTTGGTCACCCCCCTAACCTATTTGTGGTGGTGGTGGTAATAGTATCAATTAATTTCTGTCTCCAAACCATGTAATACCAAAAATGAAGAATCAACATCATTTAATTTTATGACAAGTTGAATGGTGATTTTGAAATCAAACCAATCTAGGTTTAGTGTTCTTGATAGAGCATCAATGTTTGATTGAATAAAAAAATAAAAAAATAAAAATTGGAATGATGAACCTCAATTAGATGAATGAGAAATCGAAAAATGGGAATTCCATTGATCAAATTTTTATGGTGGGTCTAATGATTTTGGTTGAAGGAAATTGACTGCTAATATTTGTATGCTCATCTTCTAAAGACTCTTAGAATTTCGCCAAAAAAAAAAAGGGCCAAAAGAAAAGAAAAGAAAAGAATATGAAGATGGTAGAAAAAAACGAAAAATGCGCATATTGTATGTATTTGATTAGGAAAATTCTATAATACACACCCCATTTTGGGGTATGTACCATATGCCCCCAGTTATGACGATTGTGATTTTTGGTTATCACTTATTTTGGTGTTAGTTATGATTTGGTTAGGACTCATAGGGTATTTTACTTGTAACTAATTGTGGTGTTGATTACCCATTGTAATTATTATTTTGGTTGGTTACACTTTTTGCGGTGTTTGGTTATAAAAACTTTTTTTTTTTTTTGGACAAAATGATTTAGTTATAACATTTGTAATAATCAACACCATAAATATCATAACTTGCGTGTGGGACACTCCAAAAGGGGGTGTGTATAGTAGCATCACCCATTTTATTATGTATTTTTTTGACAAATATTATGAATTTTTGTAGCAAATGTTATCTAATTTTCTGATAGTGTGATGATAATTTGTTATTAGATATTGTTTATTATAACAATTGTGATACAGTTATGTACTTTTATGGCAGTATTACTTTTTTTTTTTTTTTTTTTTTATCAATATGTTACTCAATCATAATAGATTATATGATATTCCAAATTTTTGAGTTTCAATAAAAAAAATAAAAAAAAGGAGTAACATTATCATAAAAATACATAATTGTATCATCAATTTTTCTAACACACAATAATTTCACTTTAGAAATCATAAATAAAAAAAGGAGTAACATTATCATAAAAATACATAATTGTATCATCAATTTTTCTAACACACAATAATTTCACTTTAGAAATCATAAATTCTCGTAACACTATCAGAAAATTACATAATATTTAACACAAAAACTTGTAATATTTACTAGAAAAATATGTAAATTATATGCAGTATCACAAAAACACCCAGTGAGCGAGTCAAGAAAATCATGAATTGAAGCACAAAAGCTACATTGACTCTATGTCTATGTACTCCACAGCAGATTTATCTGTTTTCCACCATCGCTGTCAGTGACTTTTGTCATCTCCCTAACCTATTTCTTTAATAAGCTCAATTTATTTTTCCCTTTATGACTGGTCAATACCATAAACCCCCAATGCCAGAAGGTTGTTTTCAGGGGTGGACTGGAATATTAAAAATTTTTAAAAAAAAAAAAAGGAGAGAGAGAAGGAGGAGCAAAAACATTGAAGACAAATAGAGAAAGTAAGTGAGCTATAGGCAGGAAGCAGTGGCCAGTTAGCTGCAAAATGGGAGGGAAAAGAGGGTAATGGTTGGTGGAGAAAAAAAGATAAGAAAAAGAGCAAATAGAGGGTATTTTTGACATTTTTTCTAGGGCAAAGTTAACAGAAGGGGGTATTTGTATATTGTCAGATAAAGTAAGGGAGGTCAATGTAATTTCCAAAATCTCAGGGAAGGTCCTTACAATTGTCAAAAATCTTAGGGGAGGTAAGTGTAATTTACACATTTTTCTTGAATATCATCATCATCCAAATAGTAGTCTGTGATGCTTCTATGGAGAACTATTTATATGAAGACATCAATTTTTCAACCCAGCCATCTAGGGGTTAAACTAAACGAACCCCTTTCATCGGAACAGTTCCAAGACTACTCGTTGAAATTTCTGTATGTTACCAATTTTGAACTCATTACTGGAAGATGACACAAGAGTCTGACATAATGCAAGACCAATGATCTTTATCCATGTAAACTCCACTAATACACGTAACTTTGATTTCTATTTACCACAAATTATAGAAGTTGTATAATTCATTTACAATATGTAAGGTCTCTACATTACATAATTTCATGTATATTGTAGAGTATGCATAGATAACTATTTATTTTTGTCTTTTTCTTGGTTAACAACTTGAATATAGTAATCGTGTTTGATCATCAGTAATCCTAGGCAATCATATTACTAATAATTACAGACTTAATATCCAATTACCTCAAAGCCATCCTTTTATTTTTGATAAGTAAATTTCTATTTCAAAAGCATCAAGGGGATGCAGTCCATTTACATCAAACAAAACCTATGAAATGGTATGCACCTTACAAAGCTGAAGTATCACCAAAAATAAAATTGCTCCAGGCTAGCAACAAAAAACTCTTCTAGACATAGGTTCCTCATTTCACAAAAAGATATCGTATTACATTCCCCTCAAATGAACCACATAAAGGGGTCAAAAGCCAAGTTCCCACCCCTTGCCACGTCACTAAGCACGCAAAAAATCTGCTGCTACTCTCATAAACACCTAGGACATCCCAAACATCAATAGGCCCAAATCTCATAACAACTTTGCTGCCTCACAATGTAAGATGAGGTTAGGGGTCATTCTCCTCATCACTCTTGCACATGCAACACCAATTTACCGTGACATGCCTTCTCCTTACAAGGTAAAGGTAATCAATAGTGAGGAACTTCGAATGAGCAACATTCCACACACACACACACACACAAAATAAAAATAAAAAGGGCACATCGAAGGGCTCCAACCAACCAAATCCCTTTCAAGGGGAACGAAGCTCCACCACCTCCTAATAAAACTCTGGAGATGGACTTTACCTTAGACACACCCTCAGATAAACTAGCCTGCCAAAGATCACAAAATATTGAGAACTCATGACAAAGCTGAAATAATGCCAGCAGCTCATCCTCCAGTATTGCATGTGTATTCTCAAAAGGGCTGTCGGCTGTCCCCAAAAGGTATGGTTATCATCTCTATGAACATAGTCTGAAACAATTACCTCCTTATTCTTCACAAAAAATAGCCGGAAAAGAGCTTTTAAAGGGTATGTTAATCACACAATCTTTGCCTCCAGAATTTAACCATTTCTCTTTTGTCAACTCTTAATATGACAAACTGCAAAATCCTCCCAAATATTTCAAATCCCTTTCCAAAGCCCTTTCTCGTAGGTTAAGTCCACCTCCAAATAAGTCTAATGACCCCAAGCCATACCATATTTAGCCAACACCAACTGCCTCCAATATCTCTCCCTTTCTAACGCAAATCTCCAGCACTTCCCCAACAAGGCTTCATGAAAGATTTCAAGCCACCTAATAGAGATAAACTCTTATAGGCAGAATCAACTAAATGACACTCAAACTAATCGCCCATATCACCCCAAATGAAGCCTCATTTATATTTCTGAAACCTTCTAGCAACTAGAACTAGAATGGTATATATAACATATAGTAAGTAGACATACTTGACAATTACCTTAAGGCCATCAACAAGACAGTGGTGAATGTAGCCAGACGTATAGTTGTAGAAAGTGTAGTTTGTCACTGTTCCTGATGCAGTAAATTCATACTTGTTCTCTGATGTTCCATACTGTACTATGTTGGACCCAGGTGCTTCAACTGTAACCCATGATATTAGAACAGCCTTTCCATCATAGTCACCTTGTGTGATGTGTACCTACAACAGAATATTTAAAATAGTTAAACATAATAAAAGCATATAGATTCTGTTGAATTGTAACTGAAACTAACAAGAAAAATATGTACGTCATATGTAGTTGTAAGCCAGTTTATTTCCAACTAACTACCAAAAACATGGCTCAAGCACAAGGTATGTGACTATTTCCATAACTTAATTTGCAACCAAACTCCATTTTTTTCCCATGAAAAATATTTCTCAAAAACATCTAGTAGGGAAGTAAAATTTTGTTGAAGGTCCTCTTAATTGATCAATAATAACAATTATGCATGGGGAAAGTTTAGCATGTCTGCAATGGACTATATATATTTTTCTTTCAAAGAAACAAAACAAAGGTATCTCTTTAAAAGTTCCACTTAGAATATTTCTGGTCAAAGAGTAATAAGCACAATACAGGAAGCGTTAATTTAGGCCAAGTTTGGCATCTACTAAATAATACAAAAAGTCAAAAAGTCACTATCCTATTTAAGTCACATCATCTTATTTAAATCACATCACCTCTCTAACACATCACATCAAACCCAACTCAAACCCAACCCATTTAAGTCAATAAGTCAAAAAGTACACTTTTTTAGAACATCACAAACCAACCCTTATTATCAAAACTAGGGGAAAGAAATATGGAAGTCCTTATTTTGTAAGTAGTGACATGGGAATGGGAAAAATAAGGTTCAGAGTGATGTAAAGGAATTATACTCCTATGATTTGCTTATGTCAGGATAGATTGGCTATTTCTGATGATCAAAATGTCTAAGTCTGTAAATTGCAATGTATTTGCCTGGTGGCAAGGCCTAAGGACTTGAGGGTGTGCTCCTCCAAGGTTCGGGAATTGAAACCTCTTAGGTGCTAACAATTCCTTGGGACCATCGGACTGGAAAAAAATCCTTAAATTAACTGTAGTGGACTTGCTGAAAACTCTTTGCCGAGGACCTGTGCACCCCTGGGGATTAGTTGGCCTTTGATACAAACACCCTGGTGCCAATTAAAAAAATGTCAATGTAATCTTGGGGTGTTTTGGTTGGTAGTGTTTTTAGCTCAGCAATTGAGATTGAGTTCGGGACATAGATCTTCTTAAACAATTGATGTAGCTTTCACCTCCATGCTAGAAAGGAATATGTCCGTTTCTAAACCCTTGCCCATCACTTCATTGGCTTCTCTTTTTCTCTTGGGCACTAGCCCACTTTAGGACCTCAATTATATAAGTTTCATAGTTCGTTTCATCATAGTTTTTGAGTCTACTTGCTTAGAGCTTGCTAAGGACTTGCTTAGTGCTAGAACGCCTATCCCCCTGAAGCTTGCTCGCTTAGCACTAGAGCACCAAATTTCCTTGCTTAGCGCTCACTAAGAGTGCCTCATTTCCCGCAATGCCCATTTGCTTAGTGCTAGAGTGTTGCCGGTGTGTATTGAGGCCTATTTTTGGACCTTTTTACCCTTGAACTATTTAAAAGGTCAGATTTCATCATTCTTGAGATAGAGACTGTTAATATATTCTTAGATCCACCTTCTCTCTCTATACAAACTTCATAGCTTGTTCATCAAGACTCTGTTGATAAGTCTTGTTTGATCTTCAATCTAGAGCTTTGATTCATGTTTTGAGATTATTCAATTCACCTAGATTGAATCACTACACATCAAAAACCTTCACAATTCTTCATATTCCTATAACACGGTGGCCAATGAGCTTCGTGATTGCTATTGGATCAACAGAGGTTGACACCATCAAAAACCACTTTGGAGCAGAGATCAAGCTTATTGAAGCTTGTGGTGACCTCAATAGTGTAGGTAAACTTGAGTAAGGGTTGCAATTTCTTCATCTTGAAACTTGTAACTGTTTGATTCATTAGTGGTTTTGTTGAGGGTGTGATTTTCATCCCATGGGGGAGTTCTCCTGTAGGGATTCCACATAAAATCTTGTCTCTTGATTGATTGTTATCTGTTCGATCAAATTACTCAATGAGTGAATTGATGGATTAGATTGCTTAACTTTCTTATTAAAAGCTTGAATAATTGTTTGGTTAATGAATTGTAATTTGAATTGGCACGAAATCAATTAATCACTTGATAATTTCATAATTGAACATAATTAGTATAATCGGCCTATTCACCCCGCTCAAGGCACAATTCTATTGGTGCTTTGTCTTTTCTATTTGCATTAAAGCTATTTCAGCTTACAAATGATTTTTTATTCACAATGAATGGTCACTTGAGAATGCACAATGAAAACAAGAAACATATTTTCTTGTAAGTTCTTTATTGTAGGGTCTTCTACAACTCCAAGAATTTGATAACATTGAAGGCTTACTTGCTGTGGTGCATTATAACCCTTGGGAACTACAAATGCTTCATTATCAAGAGGAATGTCAGTAGATGGCCACTCTGAACGAACAAATTTACTTGTGACACCAGCACTCCCACTGTCAACAAAGCTCAACAAAACAAATGATAAAAGTTGGAGCAGAAGCAACACAAATCCCATTCCCTTATCCTTCCACATGATTTTTAATCAACTGAGGAGACATAAATTGCTGCATGTGCAAATGAAAACCAATGTAAAAATCAGTAGGAAAAAACCACAAAACTTATGAATACTCCACGAACTTGTATCGAATTTTTTCTCCCTGTGCATTTCGTCTAAATATTTGTAATATACTTACTGCCCCATTAAGTAATATTATAAACCTAGATAAATGGAAGTGAGCTACAACTGATAATATATAGATAAGCGGAAGATTACAAGCTTGGGCATCCAACATAAAGATTGAGAGTCCAACAGAATTCCACCTGACATACTATGCCGGAGTTTACTCGATACATCAATTGGTGTGCTACAACTAACCTTGAATAATAGCATACACAGAAACGTGCACCATTAGTATAAAGCAACCATATTTATGAAGTTTTGTCACGATTTTTTTTTGTACAACTAAAATACCCCTAATCAAATAACTATTCATCTCTTCTCTTCCAAACATAGTGTTTGGGAACCTATGAGAGAAAAGAAAAGAAATGATTCCTTAAGCTATAAGAGAAAAGAAAAAAAAAAGAAATGATTGTGATTTCTCTCATTCTTGTTTGGATAAGTAAGAAATAAAAGAAAAGAAATGATTATGATTTCTCTCATTCTTGTTTGGTTTAGATTTCATAAGAGAAAAGAAAAGAAAAGAAAAGAAAAAAAATTATTTTATGTTAAATTACCAAAATAAACTTTTTATATTTTCAATCATTTTATTTCTTTTATTTTTACAAGGACAAAATTGGTATTATGAAAATATTAGTTTCTTTTCTCTCCCAATCTCTCTACTTTTAGAAAGATTGAAAATGAGGGTTATAAGAGAAATGAGTTTCTCTGAGTTTCTCTCCGTTTCTCCCAATTTCTCTTCACTTAAGTTATCCAAACAAGTAAGAGAAATGCATATCTCTACATTTCTTTTATTTTCTCTCCAAATCACTCAATCCAAACATAAAAAAGTTAGTGCCATTGGCACAAGTGCATATATATTCACACACAAACACAGCTATATATATCATTTTGGAAAATAATAATTTGATCAGAACCTTTGATCCACAACCACAGCCAGAACCAGTTCCAGAAACATCTGGATCGTCTTTCTAACCAACAATTTGTATTCAAACTGGCACATGACATAGTATTTCAAGTATGAAACATTATCAAGACACCAAATTTAGTTAAAATTAAAAACATAACCGATTTAAGAAAGACAAAATGAATCAATATCATGAACGTCACTCTTCAAAAGCAATAGTCTGAATCTTGATTCACTTCTACAGATTCAAATTGACAACTCACACAAGCATACATAAGAAATAAATACATGTATACTAGAGGTGGACACACACTGTGTGTGCAATTTATAATTGGATATGATATTATGGCAGTTATTTGAGGTAGTTGGAGAGAATTGAAGCAGTTTATATTGATTATCAAGTTTGGAGTGTATTTTTAGAACAAAAATTCCGTGACATCAACACTAACTCCAGCCTTCACTCTATAAAACTATCACTAATAAATTTACAACAATTCATACATCATATAATTAAGGGAAAAAGAATTTGAGAGATAGGCAACTATATAAATTTCATTTCAATACTAATTTAAAAAAAAAAATGGAAAACAAAACAAAATATGGAAAAAAAAAATAATTAGAAACTAAGACTACAATTTTGATTGCACAAAAATTTGAGAGAGAAACTTCTCAATGGAGAGACTATGAGAAAGAGATGTCCAATTTTTTTTTTTAACCTCAAGCATTGGGATCCAAAAGTTATGAATTATGTTATTAGGTTTTCTTGGCAAACAAACAAACCAAAAGACAAGAAAATCAAACAATAAATAAAACTAGCAATGTGTTCCCACCCGATGGGTGTGCCATTAAATTTGCAAAATACAAATTGGATTTGAATATGAATTTGATCAATTATAGGAGGCAGGTCAGTTACAAGAGTCAATTAATTACATGGCCGTATTTTTGAATAAACTAAAAAATCATGACATCCACAAGAACAAACCTATTTTCTTTAAATATTAGCGTATATATATATGTAACGGAAATTGTAACCGTTGAATTAAAATCATATTACAGATCTGTAACTGCTGATTCAAGAACACTCATAGGCATGCACACCTTCTAATGTATAAAAATTAATATAGAGACATATATAAAAGATGATACAGACACACAGAGAGATGCCTGGAAGGTTTAAGGAAAGTACATGAAATTTGCAACTTCTGCGCTTTCAACGTACCCCTAAGGTTTTGCTTTTATCAAGGATCTCCCCCGAAAATTTCAAAATAAGGGCTGACTTGTTAAATATTTTTTCCAGCAACTTTTTTTTTTTTTTTTTTTTTTTACTTTAAAAAAGTTAATGTGTTTGGTAAATTATAACAAAATATACCTTTTGTTACTAGGAAAGTATAGGTGAGATTGAATTTTTTTTGTCTTACATTTTTTTTTTAGATCCTTCCAAATTATAAAAATAATAATCAAAGAGAACAAAAAATTGAAAAAACATAATTATAAGAAAAAGCAGCCAAGATATTTTTTCTTTTAGGGGAAAAAAAAAAAAAGGATAATTCGTGAAAAGTCTAATTTAAAGAAGGTATAAGGCATTAGATCCAAGAGAAAATCTTATTTGGTGATAAGAACATTTGTTGTTCAAAAGTCCATTAACACCTATCTGTTGAAATTTTTAGGGTAAATTACAAATACACCCCCTGAGGTTTGCTTAAAATACAGATTGCCCCCCAATGGTTTAAAAAATTACAAATACCCCCTTATTGAAATTTTTTACTTAACAAAATTAACTCAAAAAATGAAATTTATAATTGTTCTCCTATACAATAATAAAAGTACATAAATTATAAATTGAAACATATTTTTAACATCATTAATAACTGTTAATTGACTTGATGATATATTAATAAAAGGAACGATTTGTTATGAAATTAGAAACCTCAAGAGATGGAATATAATTTTCAAAACCATAGGGGAGGAGGCAGGTCAGTTACAAGAGTCAATTAATTACATGGCCGTATATTTGAATAAACTAAAAAATCGTGACATCCACAAGAAGAAACCTATTTTCTTTATATATTAGCGTATATATATGTAACGGAAATTGTAACCGTTGAATTAAAATCATATTACAGATCTGTAACTGCTGATTCAAGAACACTCATAGGCATGCACACCTTCTAATGTATAAAAATTAATATAGAGACATATATAAAAGATGATACAGACACACAGAGAGATGCCTGGAAGGTTTAAGGAAAGTACATGAAATTTGCAACTTCTGCGCTTTCAACGTACCCCTAAGGTTTTGCTTTTATCAATGATCTCCCCCGAAAATTTCAAAATAAGGGCTGACTTGTTAAATATTTTTTCCAGCAATTTTTTTTTTTTTTTTTTACTTTAAAAAAGTTAATGTGTTTGGTAAATTATAACAAAATATACCTTTTGTTACTAGGAAACTATAGGTGAGATTGAATTTTTTTTGTCTTACATTTTTTTTTAGATCCTTCTAAATTATAAAAATAATAATCAAAGAGAACAAAAAATTGAAAAAACATAATTATAAGAAAAAGCAGCCAAGATATTTTTTCTTTTAGGGGGAAAAAAAAAAGGATAATTGGTGAAAAGTCTAATTTAAAGAAGGTATAAGGCATTAGATCCAAGAGAAAATCTTATTTGGTGATAAGAACATTTGTTGTTCAAAAGTTCATTAACACCTATCTGTTGAAATTTTTAGGATAAATTACAAATACACCCCCTGAGGTTTGCTTAAAATACAGATTGCCCCCAGTGGTTTAAAAAATTACAAATACCCCCTTATTGGAATTTTTTACTTAACAGAATTAACTCAAAAAATGAAATTTATAATTGTTCTCCTATACAATAATAAAAGTACCTAAATTATAAATTGAAACATATTTTTAACATCATTAATAACTGTTAATTGACTTGATAATATATTAATAAAAGGAGCGATTTGTTATGAAATTAGAAACCTCAAGAGATGGAATGTAATTTTCAAAACCACAGGAGGACGATTCATATTTTAATCAAATCTCAGGGAGTTTATTTGTAATTTACCTAAATTTTTATAGATAAACTATCTGTTGAATAAATCTATTTGCTAAAATATGTCTTAGTTTTATCTTTCTATTAAAATTGTTTTATTATTTTTAATCTATTTGTTGAAATTCATCAAGCCTATTATTTGTTGAAATTCAACAAGCCTATTTTTCTTATCTTTTGAAATTTACCAAGCTTATTTTTCCTATATGGTGAAATTCATAGAGCCTATTTCCCCAAAGAATCTCTCACTCCTATAACAACAACACCACCGCTATAAACAGATTGAAAACATTTCAGAGACAAACCCAGAACAAAACAAAGTTTCAACAAATAACATGATATATTCGTCACTCAGGTTCATGGTGGAAAAAACGATAAATACAAGAAGGATGAGATGAAAATAGAAGACAAGATCGGCCATATTTCTTCCTTCACGTACTGTCGTAGCGCCTCCGCAATCAGATTACCAACTGTTGATTCCGGTGAAATCACCACCTAGACAGCCCCAACAAGGCTCCGTTGAATCGTTACGTTTAGTAACAATTTCGTCAACTTCAACGGTCGTCCCTCCACCACAACACCGCCGACCCTCCTCCTGGCTAGCAACTCCAGCACTGTCCTTGGCCTTATGGCCCCGTTTGTTTTCAGAAATAGAATGGAGGGGATTGATAGTGAGGGGATTAATAGTGAGAGGATTAATAGTAAGGAATAGTTAAATTGTTTTTATATAAAATAATTAAATAAATAAATAAATTTTAAAACTTAAACATTAATATTTTTAAAAAAATTCCCAATATATAAAAAATAAAAAAATTTCTAATCCACTCACTATTTTTCTAATACCATCTCTACCTCCTCACTATGAATCCCCCTTCCAAGGCATTTACTAATACCTAGGTATTAGTAGTCCCCTCCCCATCTCTCAAAACAAACACCCTATATAGTAGTTCCACCTCACTATCAATCCCAATCTCCTTCCTATAACCCCAAACAAACAGGGCCTATAAGTTGCTCTCCCATGGCCCCTCCACTTCGACGTGAAACAACAACGATTTCTCCACCAGCTTCCCTTTCTTGTTCTACTCTTCCTGTCCTCTCCAATGATTCTTCGAGTTCGGCACCGTATATATACATATGAATCAATATATATATATATATGTATATGTAGAAGGAGTTGGATTGAGAAACTACCTCAACCAGCGGTAGCGAAAGAAGTAAAGGCAAGAGAAGTAGAGAGCGGGGAAGAAGCAGATGTGAGAGAGCATCTGAAGGCAATGGGAGAAGAGAAGCTTGACAAAGGTGATGAAAGTAGAGAAGGAAGAGATGACGAAGAACAAGAAGGATGAGATTGAGAAACAGAGAAAAAGAGATGAGAGAGAACCCACCTCAATAATGGTGTTTTATATTGTACAAATAGAGAAACGATTCTGATATCATAATTGTGTCCTTATGCACTTAATAGTTTAGTACGCGAACTTTTAGACGAAACAAATCCAAGATTGGATTTATGGCATTACTTCTGTTATGGGCATTTTCGAAAAAGAAAAATGTGACATTTACACCAAGTTACGACTAAATATTAGAGACTCATATCAATTACAAATTGTCTTTATTAAGTATAAATAAATATTATATAAACAGACCTTATTAGAATAAATTTTAGTTGTTTTTCTTTTGTTTCTATGAAATTTATATGTTTGAGAGGTTTTTAATGCAGTTGGGATCAAATTTCTTCCTTGGAAAGCGCGGAATCGTGTTTCTTAGTAAGAAAAGCCACTTGAGTGGAAGATTTCTGCAACTAAGTTATAGAATAGTATAGATTAGAAGGAAAAGCACACTACAGGTGCAACTGAAAAAATTATGGGCACTGTAGATGTATATACGACCATGTTTGTTTAGATGTGCAGTGGGATTCAGTGATAGGAGTACTAGTGTGGTAGTATTAGGTTAAAGATAAAATGTAAAGTGTATTTGTTTGTGTATTAGGAGTGTGGTGGTATTAGTAAAAGTCTATGAAGCATGGGTGCAGATGCGGGTGTGGGTACCATACAGGGTACGCCAATATACCAAAATCTTTTTTAAAAAGATAAGGTACAAATATGGTTGGGGTACGCAAATATTATTATTATTATTATTATTATTTATAGCTAAACATTCAACCTAGAAATCAAATTCAATACATAACAATTTGAAAAAATCAATATTACGGAAGTAATTACAATGAAATATATACACCAGTTTATGAACCCTGAATTTAATTGTTCCTTTCTTTTGTCATCTTAGATTTTAAATTTTTTATCTTTTATTTTATATAATTCTGATTGTCTTTTGACTACTACAACAGTTGGAAGAAGAGGGAAAAGTTAACAGAGTTCTACATTCCCTAAATTTTTTTGAAGATGATTAAAGAGGAATAAGGTGTAGATCAGAACAAAAGAAGAATCGAAGAAGGATAATCTAATGGAAGAAGAAGAGAATCAAAGAAGAAGAGGAGATCGGCTACAAGAGGAGGTCGGAAAACTCACCGTAAAAAAAAGAAAAAAGAAAACTCAGATGTTCGACTCGTCGGATGATCATTTGCTGCAAAAAATAAATGAACAAAACAAAAATCTGAAGGAAAACAAAATCCAAAGAAAGAGGAAGAAGAATCGAAGAAATAGATGAAGAATCTAAGAAGAGGAGGTAAGAAAAACACAGCGGAAGATCGAGCTTCGTCGTGGACCAGCACTGTCGTCTTCGAAGGAGAGTTGAATCGCTGCCTCTGTTCTTCGAATGAAAGTCGAGAACGACATAGAAAAAGAAAAGGAACGATAGATATGTAAATGGTTTTGGAAAATAATAATTTGATCAGACCCTTTGATTCACAACCACTACCAGTTCCACAAACATCTGGATCTTCTTTCGAACCAACAATTTGGATTCAAAGTGGCACATGACATAGTATTTGATGTATGAAATACAAACATTATCAAGACACCAAATTTAGCTAAAATTACAAACATAACTGATCTAAGAAAGACAAAATGCATCAAATCATGAACATCACTTTTCAGAAGCAATAGTCTGAATCTTCCTTCATTCATTTATACAGATTCAAGTCGATTTCTACTCACACATAAGCATACATGAATAAAATACATGTATATATATATATGCATGTATATTAGCAACAAACTTAGAGAGGTTAGGTAGGAGATGTAGAGAGAGAGAGAGAGAGAGAGAGAGAGAGAGAGAGAGAATACCTTCAAATCATTTGGAGGAGGAGAAGAAGGAGAGGGAACGAATGCCTTGGCACTTTCATCGTCGGAACAAATATCACCTCAATTTAAGAAGCTTGATGGCAGGCGTAGATTAGCAGTATAGCAAGAGAGGGGTGTAAGATAGAATTTACCAATTGATTTTGAGATATGACAATGATCGGAAAGTGGAATGGTAAGTGGCATGTTGCTATTGGCAGAGATGGTGATCCGACCCGCGTATTATCGGGTGCCCATCATAAGTTTGTTCGTTTCACAATTGAGAGGACAGAAAACTATTCCCGCGTCTGTCGTCACCGCCGCTGTCACTAAGTAGATGATTGTGGCACGCTAAGTTAAGGGGCGTTTAAAATGACTTAAATAAGTATAATTTTTATTTTTTTTATAAAAATATGTATAGAAAAATAAAGAGTTGATATGATAGAAAAAAAATAAAAAGTGTGTACTTATTTAAGATAGTCAAACTTGGCCTAAACAACGGGCCAATTAGCTGCACCTTCTTTAAGATTTAGGGGTGATTTGGGATGATCTAAGGCCTCGTTTGGGAACAGGCTAATTTAGTAACTTTTTGGCTAATTGGCTAAAAAGGTAGGTAAAAAAAACTTGTATGTTTGGGATGACTTTTTGACTAATTACGAAAAGCTGTGCAAAAAGTAGAGAGAAGCCGTAATTGTTGACTTTTTGGTATGACTAATTGGCTAATTGGCTAATTTAGTAACTTTTTGGCTAATTGGCTAAAAAAGTTAGTTTCCAAACGGGGCCTAAGTGTATTTTTAATTTTTTATGAAATATGACTTGGATATGAATTGAATTTAAAGTGATGTGATAGAGAGGTGATATAATTTAAATAAGATGATATGACTTAAATAGAATAGTGACTTTTTAATTTTTTTAAAATACCCCAAACAATTCCTTAGTTAAACTATCGGGGCTTTTCCCATATTAAGCCTCTTTTGCATACTATTTCCCAAACTAGCCCTAGTTTGGACGGATTTTTCAAAATAGGCTAAAGCGCTATTACAAATCGCGTTTTCACTGTTTTGAGCCCAAAACTTGATGAATAGTGAAGGTGCTATTGTGAATCGCGATTTTAATTAAGAAAACGCTGGTTGAAATAACGATTTTAAGGTAAATTTTTTTTTTGAATAAAACGCTATTCTAAATAGCGCTTTATTTGTGGATTCGTTTTGTGAAGAAAACGCTATTTCAAATAGCGATTTTACTGTGCATTTCTTTTGTGAAGAAAACGCTATTCGTAATAGCGTTTTCACTGTTAATTAATGAAAATGCTAATTGAAAGAACGCTTTTAAAACTCCTATAAAACACGGGTATGGCCTCATTTGCAATCACGTTTTTGACACTTAGGTTTTTCGTCTCTTGCTCGATCTCTCTCATTTCTCAGACTCTCTAGCTCTCACTCTCCATCTCCCTCTGCTCTCAGACTCACTCGCTATCGATCTCGCTCTGTTCGGCTCTCACTGTCGCTCTCGCTCTCCCCCTGCTCTCTGCTCTCACTCTCTGTCTCTGCTCTTTCTCTCTCTCCGTGGTATGGCATCTAGTTCTGTCTGTATCATTTGAATTTTATGTATTTATTTATTGTGTTTGTGAAAAATGTGAATATGTTTGTGAAACTGTGGATGTTAGGGTTTTAAATGTGAATTATTAAATGTGTTATAGGGTTCTAATGTGTTAGGATTTTATCAATGTGGTTATGAAATTAGGGTTTGGAATTTTTTAAAATTAGAAATCAGGTTTGAATTTGTGCTTTTGAATTTGTGGAATTTTTATGCTTTTGAATTTTTGGATGTTGCTTGTGAATTGAATATTTGGGTTTACATTTTTTATGCTTTATCAGTGTGATTATGAAATTAGGGTTCTAAAGATAATTGTTGCTCGATATCCGATTGTTCACACATCCTTTTAGGATGACATTTTAGGGTTCAAAAAATTGAGGGTTTTGAATCATAAATCAAGTTTGGAATATTTTGAATTTTTTAAATAAATCATAAATATGAGAATTGAGAATTGAAAATTGGAATTATGAAATTTATAAATCATAAATTCATATAATTGATAATTATTAATGTCATATTATGAAATTCATATAATTGAGAATTGAGAATTGAAATTATGAAATGTTTATATTTTGAAATTTGAAATCAGAAATTGAAATTTTAAAATTATGCTTGTAAATCAAAATGTCTATATTTTGAATTTTGAATTGTGAATAAACCAACCTATATTTGTTGAATTGGAAATTATTATTATTTTTGCTTGTTAAGAGGAATTAAAAGGAAATTAGGGTTTTAAAACTAAATTTTTTTAATTAAGAATAAAATTAAAAAATTTGAAATTCATATAATTGATAATTGTTAATGTCATATTATGAAATTCATGTAATTGAGAATTGTTGTATTGGAATTATGAAATGTCTATATTTTGAAATTTGAAATCAGAAATTGGAATTTTGAAATTATGCTTGTGAATCAAAATGTCTATATTTTGAATTTTGAATTGTGAATAAACCAACCGATATTTGTTGAATTGGAATTTTTTTTTTTTTTTGGCTTGTTAAGAGGAATTAAAAGGAAATTAGGGTTTTAAAAGTAATTTTTTTAATTAAGAATAAAATTCAAAAAATTGAAATTCATATAATTGATAATTGTTAATGTCATATTATGAAATTTATATAATTGAGAATTGTTGAATTGGAATTATGAAATGTCTATATTTTGAAATTTGAAATCAGAAATTGGAATTTTGAAATTATGCTTGTGAATCAAATGTCTATATTTTGAATTTTGAATTGTGAATAAACCAATCGATATTTGTTGAATTGGAAATTTTTTTTTTTTTTTTGCTTGTTAAGAGGAATTAAAAGGAAATTAGGGTTTGAAATTAGAGTTTTAAAAGTATTTTTTTTTAATTAAGAATAAAATTCAAAAAATTGAAATTCATATAATGGATAATTATTAATGTCATATTATGAAATTCATGTAATTAAGAATTGTTGAATTGGAATTATGAAATGTCTATATTTTGAAAATTGAAATCAGAAATTGAAATTTTGAAATTATACTTGTGAATCAAAATGTCTATATTTTGAATTTTGAATTGTGAATAAACCAACCGATATTTGTTGAATTGGAAATTATTATTTTTTTGCTTGTTCAGAGGAATTAAAAGGAAATTAGGGTTTGAAATTAGGGTTTTAAAAGTAATTTTTTTTAATTAAGAATAGAATTCAAAAAATTGAAATTCATATAATTGATAATTGTTAATGTCATATTATGAAATTCATGTAATTGAGAATTGTTGAATTGAAATTATGAAATGTCTATATTTTGAAATTTGAAATCAGAAATTGGAATTTTGAAATTATGCTTGTGAATCAAAATGTCTATTAAGAAATTGTATTTTTTTTGCTTGTTAAGAGGAATTAAAAGGAAATTAGGGTTTGAAATTAGGGTTTTAAAAGTAATTTTTTTTAGTTACAAATAAAATTTAAAAAATTGAAATTCATATAATTCATAATTGTTAATGTCATATTATAAAATTCATGTAATTGAGAATTGTTGAATTGGAATTATGAAATGTCTATATTTTGAAATTTGAAATTAGAAATTGGAATTTTGAAATTATGCTTGTGAATCAAAATGTCTATTATGAAATTGTATTTTTTTTGCTTGTTAAGAGGAATTAAAAGGAAATTAGGGTTTGAAATTAGGGTTTTAAAAGTAATTTTTTTTAGTTACGAATAAAATTTAAAAATTTGAAATTCATATAATTCATAATTGTTAATGTCATATTATGAAATTCATATAATTGAGAATTGAGAATTGAAATTCATATTATGAAATTCATGAGTTGAGAATTAAGGTGGATTGACAATTTCAATTCGAGGTCCACATGGTTACATATATATGATCATTTTTGTTTAAGAAAATAAGACTGTAAATTGTATGATTGAATTCAAAATCTGAAAATTGAAATGAATTTGAAAAAATCAAAAGTTCAGAGATTTGGAAAAAAAAAATGAATTTAGTGCATAATTTCCCATATAACTGATATAGAGGTATTTTTGAAAAACCCAAAATATGAGACATAAACACCCAGAGAAGACTTTTCTTTATAATAGTACTACATATATATATACACCTTTATTCAGTATTTCATTTGGTAATATCAATGTGGGATTGTATACTTGAGAAATGGTATTTGAATCTATCGCCTATTATACTATATGAGAAATGGTATTTGTCAACTGATTTATTTCACTATACTATTTGACCCTCTAGGTGTATTTATTCAATTCAAGACATTGTGTATATTTAATAAATGGCAAATTTCACTTCAATGTGCATGTGCAAACTACCCATATAATTTGGAAATAACTATAATGTTCCTGTGGAAGGGGGTTATGTTCTTATTTTCAAATATCAGAGGTAAATCACACATAGAGTAAAGCAAAGGGGGTTAAAGTCAATTTCATCTTTCAAAAAAATGACAAATATAATATGAATTTCAATTAAGAATACTAAGTGTATGGAAAGATTAACGTTGTTTCATAAGTTAAATTTTATGAAACTAATTTCTACTAAATGAAATTATTAAAAAATATATATTTAATTTTGAATGTATTTTATTAAAAAAAATATTTGTATTGACTTCAAAATAATAAATGAAAAGATCATGTTCTCTCAAATATTTAATTTTGACTCTATTTTATTCAAAAAAAATATTTTTATTGACTTCAAAATAATAAATGAAAATATCATGTTCTCTCAAAATATTTAATTTTGACTCTATTTTATTTAAATAAAAAAAAAATTGGTTTAATTTCGTTTGGTTTATTTCACTATATTTGGGGTCAGGCACCTAGAATATGATTAAAAAATTTAATGAGTTGAATTTGTAATACATATAATAGCATTATAGTAGAAATTAAAATTTCCTCACAAAACTTAAGAAAATTTTAAATTTTTTTTGAAATGGGTATTGAACGAAGTGACTTATCGTCACTTCCGCTTTGTAACTGTCCACCACCATTGAAAAGGAAAATTTGAACATTATGTTTTAATAATTTTTATTTTTATTTATATAATTAGAAGTCATTATTAGACTAGTTATAATATATGCA